AAGCCCAAGATGAACAGTAAGGCTAGGGATGGGGAGCAAGGTCGAGTCAACATTGTAGGAGTTTTGGGAAACGGCTCATTTTATAAAAATATGATGTCTTTCCAAATAAAGTAGCTTGACACCGGCGTTGTCTACATTTTCAAAACCATTGAATCGGTTACTTTTGTATGAAGTCTTACGACCCTCTAACTTGAACATCGGCCCCACGACTGTCACTTTTAAGGACAATGTCCAAGGTGTGACTTTGTTGAGATTTTCTTGAGAGTGACATAATAATTGAACAATTTTTTTTTGTGAGTTCGAATGATTAGTATTTGATTTTTATACCCTTGGCGGTTGTTGAAAATGCAAGTAACACTTCTGAATAAAAAAACAAAGCTTTAATTTCTTTTAGTTTTAAATTTTATTTTATTTTTCATTGCGTTTATGTTTTCATGTATAATTATTTTCATTGCATGCATCCATTCTTAGTTCCCGTATGATCTATCTTTTCCTTTCTATTCTTTTCTTTTTCGTTATCTCTTTTGTCACCGAGAAATCATCCCTTTCTTCCGGTTCTCATTCTTTCTTGAGGATAAGAAAAGTTCAAGCTTTGGGAGATTTGTTAGGTGCATAAAGTGCACCTTTTTGTATGTTTATTTCATGTTTAATTCAAGCATTACATAGCATTTAGTTTAACTTTGCATGTAGTTTATATTTTTGGAACATTTTCGAGGATCTATCTACTTTTCACCATTTTTGTGGATGTTTTAGGGTGATTCGAGAATTGGAGCATGCTTAGGATGTTCAAGGAGGTTCTCTGCAAAATTTCAGAAGAATCGGAACAAGACACAATGTAAACTTGCTGTGGAAGTGTGATGCGAATGAAAAATAAATTTAGTTTTGGTGACTGTTTAATAACTCTAAATCTTAAGTGGTAATTTATAACCATCATGGTTTTGTTAATAATACATGTTAATTAAAAATTAGCAAGACACAATGTAAACTCACATTAAAAATATATTACCTTTATCATAACAAATGCAATCACTTTGGTAGAAAAATGACCAATTATTTTAATAATAAAAAAATATTAAGCTATTATTGTATCTTTTCATAACACAAAATTTGTCCAAAGATAACAACATATTTTTGTGTACGCATAACTTCATTAGATTACCTTATTTAATGGGATTTTATTTGTAACAGTTAGATGGTTATCATGTATGATTATTTTTGTTTTTCTTAGTGTATCAAATTTTAATGTTTCATGAAAATCATTGTGTTTTTCTTATTAATCATGAATTAAAGAACATTGTTTATATTTTAGAACCAGATATTAACTAGACACAACTGCAAAAATGGTCCTTATAGTATTATTTTTTAGGGTTTTAATCCAAACACTGACTTTTTTGGCTTTGTGGTCCTTTTGACCATGTGTATTTGTGGAATTAGTCTCTGTTAAATTTAAAAAGACTAATCTAACCTTTAATTTGTTTTTCTATTTCTTAAACATTTTTTCCTTTTATTTAAAGAGCAAATTGCAAATTTAGCAAAATACATAAATTACTTTGTAGAAAATAGCCAAAAAAACACAAATTACAAAACTAGCCCTTAAAATCGCAGATGGACTAAGTCCATCTGTGATTTCGTATTTCCATCTGCGAACGTACAAGTGCCTAAAGCACATATGTGCTTTAGCCACTTGTACGTTCACAGATGGAACAGTCCATATGTGATTTTGTACATTCCATCTGTGATTTCGTAGCTATTTTGTATAAAAGGTTTTTTTTTCTTCATTTTTCACTATCTTTTTTAGAGAAACTCTCTCTTTCCACCTCCCGTCAGTTACAACGCAAACCAAATATTCATTTATTTTTTTAGAGAGGTTTTAAACAAATTTTCCAAAGAAATAACAACAAAAATAATAATTTTTTGAAAAATTTTATATATAATAAGGTTGTTTCGTAGTTAAACTGTATCAATTTCGTAGTAAAAAAAATACACACACACACACAAAATTGCAGGTGAATAGAGAGGAAATCGCAGATGGACATAGTCCATCTGCGATTTTAGGCTGGAAAGGGGTTATATATACAACGAAAAAAAAAACCACCTGCGAACGTACAAGTGGCTAAAGCACGTTTGTGCTTTAGCTACTTGTACGTTCGCAGATGGAATGGCGAAATCACAGATGGATTATACCCATCTGCGATTTTAGTGGCTAAAAATGCAATTTTGATTTTTTTTTGGTTATTTTCTATAAAGCAATTAGTGTATTTGGCTAAATTTGTAATTTTCTCTTATTTAAAATTTTAAAAGTAAAAACAAAGTTCATTTTCAAGTATTACTCTAGCCACTAAAACGGAGTTTGGGGGTGGGTCGGAGATTCCTAACTCAAACTTCCACGTGAAATGCGTGACCACCACTAAAACGTTCACCAGTCTTTTTCACCTCCGTTCAGTCATTCTCCCCCGCCATCATAGCCAACCTCGGGCCTCACTTCGACTTCCTCGTCTGCGCAATCGACAACATCGGAGATTACGTTACCCTAACAGTCGACCCCCAAGTCCAACGTGACAGATTATCAATTATAGACATCACCGGCGTCGATACCTCCACCAAGAGGCTCGACAAAAACTCTCTATGGAATTGCGTCGGAATCGCTGCAATCTCTGTCACGAAAATGCTCAAAATCCGATCTGTGGGTCTCTCTCTCTCTCATGACCGATATGCCTCCCCGGATTGTTCACCCCCTCCTTGCCAACCACCGCCAGGGATGGTGACCTTCTCTTCTCTTGCGCCAAAGATCACACTCCTACTGTGTGGTTCGCAGACAATGTCGGACGATTGGGCACATATCGTGGTCACAATGGTGCCGTATGGTGCTGTGATGTTTCAAGTAAGTTTCTTCCTTCCTCTCCATCTTTAAGTCTTATTTAAATTCGTCAAATTAACAACTGGTTTGTGTTATGTGGAATTTTATTTTGTTAATAAGATAACTGATTGACAATTGATTCTGCAGGATTGATTACCGGTAGTGACGGCCGATCAATCAACCAAACTATGGGATGTTCAGAGCTTTTCACATTCAACTTCAATTGTTGATTTTTCCGTTGGCGATAAGCTTGCTGTAATCATCACCGACCCTTTTATGGGTTTGACTTCTGCTATCTGCTGATGACCTTGAGTTCACTTCTCCGTTCCATTCCCTCCAACTAAAAAGACTTAAGGTAATGTTTGAAATGAAGAAATCATGTTTGTTTGCTACATAGGAATGGAATGGAAGCTGATTTTCATTCCATCGTGGTGGGATGTTTTTTTTTCTCTCTCATTCCTTGATGGAATATAATGAGGTAATAAATGATTTTTTTAAACTATCTGAAATACAATGTAATAAGTATTTCACACTTGATGTCTCTTATCCTCAGTTAACTTTTTTCTTCTTTCAAACTTAAAGACAGGAAAATTGCTGCAAGAAAATGACAAGAATGTTGGTCACAAAAGACAACTATTTCATTTGCAAAATCTACCGATGATTATTTATTATTATTTATTATTATTATTATTATTATGTAATGTAGTTTTTCAAGTGGTGGTGAAGATGATTACGTGAGGTTGCATCACTTTGATCCTGACTACTTCAAGATTCAAGATTTTCTAATATATCATTAAAAACATCTTTCTGTTTATGTTTTGTAGTAAGGTAGAGAATTGTGATGAGGTATGGTTTCACTTTGGATGTAATTCGAGCAAGAGCATTATTCAAAGATTATCTGGATTTGATTCACTTTTGAGAATGTGTGCATTTTAGAAGAGACTATCAATAAAATTAAAGCTAACATATTAGTTGGTATTTTACAAATCTTACTTGGGATGTAATGACTCACTTTTGTCACAACTTCTTTTACAAATGACCTCGTTTTCTTAAGTATCATTTATTCAAAGATCATCCATCGACTTGTTTAGTGGTGTTGGCTAACAATAGTCATTCACATCGGTAGAGTTGATTCCAGATTTCCGTTTAACAAATGTTATTTATCCTCTCATAGATGATATGTGATGAGTTTGAAAATTAAAATTAGATTTCATAGTCTTGTCTTAAGCTAAATTGGTTGCACATTCTTCTTCAAAGAGCTCGTAAGTGGGTCATGTATCAAATAATGAATCATTTTTTTAATAGTTTATACGATCCATTTGTTAGGTCTTCAAAAGTAAAGGTATTCGCGGGTTAGATTTTATCTTATCTGTTTTTCTGAACATTTCTATAAAAATTCCAACAAGAATGTAATATATGCACAAAGATTCCGCATCTTATCTGATAATTTTGGCCCAACAAGAGTATAACATTTGACTGTATAAAAAAATTTCTTTCAACAAGATATTCATTTCTAGCTAATGAACATTTACTTTAAGAAACCCATAGTGGGAATCAAACATGACGCCTCGTGCCAGAATCTGCTAAAATGTTAAACAGGATTGTTTACCATAAAATTTAAAGATGGAAGTTTCAATGTTTTACCATTACCCATAATCATTAAATATCAAAAAAAAAATTATAATTTTTAAAATTTAAATTAGTTAAATGTTAAAATAAGCTAAATTTTAAATATGTTGACTCACAATCTTATCAATTTGGAAGTTCTTGAAAGAACTTTTCCAAATTGGTGGCTTCTAAAGACGAAACACAAAAAGTATCTTCCAAAAGCGCAGCTTTTTCCTTGACTTCATCGGGATTTGGACACCTATCAATCTGTCAAAAAAAAGTTTAGAGGATAAACTAGTCAAAAGTATATGTTGCTATTTGTTGGATTTGAACCAAATTAAAAAGCAGAGCATTTCTAGAGTTTCACCATGAGAATAGTTGAAGCATTTAAGTCAAGAAGCATCCATCTGATTTGCTACTAGTGGATAACTACATTAATAACAATATAACTTCATTATTAGGGTCCAAATACATTTTATAAAAATATAGCATAATCAATTTATATCAACTACAACTGCTAGTAGAGAAGAATGTTTTATCTCCTCAAATGTGGGGGTAAATGCAGAAAGCTTCAACACAAAAAAAAATCATTAGTTCATTATTAGTAAATTTATAATACATATCAAAAAAATAAAAAAACTTACAAGGTATTTGGGGGGTTTTGTAAAAACCCCATATTGTCCCGTAAAAGGATATTCTGACAATTTTTAATCTAAAAAAATGCTTATATAAATCAGTTTCAATAAAAAAAAATTGTAATATTTGAATTCTGTAAAGTAAAGGTGGAACTCACCCTCCTTGTAACAGAGTCTAGTGTGGTAAAAAGTTGATCCTCGACTGCAACGCTCGACCCGGTCAAGTTGTTGAAAATACTACTTTTCTCCCCGAGTTGGTGTATCCAACAAGGGAAATAGTAGGTACACGTTCCTGCATTGTTCTTGCGCGAGCTCTTCGCTCACGCACAGACTCGAGTTCAATTCCGAGCTCGTTAATTTTTTTAATACATGTGCTCTGTTGACTTTTTTTTTGTGTTGTTTATTTCGTGTTCTAGTCTCCCTAAGTTGACCTACAAAATTTACAATATGCAAAGTTAATTCTCAATCAACTTTAAAAGTAAAGATAGAGTATCAACCTGGACATGAGCTTCTTTTGTCGAGGCTCTTTTGGTCAACAAATCAACAATAATTTCCCTCCTATCAAATTTTACTTTGTTGCCATACATCTTTTAGGTACTTGAGTTCATCTTTATAATTCTGTTGGTTATCTGATGAGAAACAAAAGTTGAAATGTAATGAATTTAAATCAACAAAGAAGAAAAGCTTAATGAGTGAAATTTAGAACTAAATGAAACACACATATCCACATTTAAAAGCATAATTAAATAATAAAAATGAAAGAAAACACATAAATGGAAATATAAATAGGCTTTCAAAAAGGGTAAAATGGGAAACACGAATAGTTCTTAAAAAGAAACACAAAAGAGCCTATATATATTTCCATTTAGATGTTTTCTTTCATTTTTCTATATATTTCCATTTAGGTGTTTTCTTTCATTTTTCTATTTGATTATGCTTTTAAATGTGGATATGTGTGTTTCATTTAGTTCTAAACTTCACTCATTAAGCTTTTCTTCTTTGTTGATTTAAATTCATTACATTTCAACTTTTGTTTCTCATCGGATAACCCAACAGAATTATAAAGATGAACTCAAGTACCTAAAAGATGAATGACGACAAAGTAAAATTTGATAGGAGGGAACTTATTGTTGATTTGTTGACCAAAAGAGCCTCGACAAAAGAAGCTCATGTCCAGGTTGAATACTCTATCTTTACTTTGGTTGAATACTCTATCTTTACTTTTAAAGTTGATTGAGAATTAACTTTACATATTGTAAATTTTGTAGGTCAACTTAGCGAGACTAGAACATGAAATGAACAACACCAAAAAAGTCAACAGAGCACATGCATTAAAAAAAATTAACGAGCTCGGATTTGAACTCGAGTCTGTGCGCGAGCGCTTCGCTCGCGCAAGAGCAATGCAGGAACGCGTACCTACTATTTCCCTTGTTGGATACACTAATTCGGGGAGAAAAGTAGTATTTTCAACAACTTGACCGGGAGCGTTGCAGTCGAGGATCAACTTTTTACCACACTAGACCCGGTTACAAGGAGGATGAGTTCCACCTTTACTTTACAAAATTCAAATATTACAATTTTTTTTATTGAAACTGATTTATATAAGCATTTTTTTAGATTAAAAATTGTCAGAATATCCTTTTACGGGACAATATTGGGTTTTTACAAAACCCCCCCAAATACCTTGTAAGTTTTTTTATTTTTTCTGATATCTATTATAAATTTACTTAATAATGAACTAATGATTTTTTTTTGGTGTTGAAGCTTTCTGCATTTACCCCTACATTTGAGGAGATAAAACATTCTTCTCTACTAGCAGTTGTAGTTGATATAAGATTAATTATGTTGTATTTTTATAAAATGTATTTGGACCCTAATAATGAAGTTATATTGTTATTAATGCAGTCATCCACTAGTAGCAAATCAGATGGATGTTGTCGACAAGATGCTTCTTGACTTAAAATGCTTCAACTATTCCCATGGTGAAGCTCAGTAATATTCTGCCTTTTAATTTAATTTGGTTAAAATCCAACAAATAGCAACATACTTTTGACTTGTTTATCCTCTAAACTTTTTTGACAGGTTGATAGGTGTCAAAATCCCGATGAAGTCAAGGAAAAAGTTGCGCATTTGGAAGATACTTTTTGTGTTTCGTCTTTTTAAAAGCCACCAGTTTGGAAAAGTTCCTTCAATAACTCCCAAAAAAACTAATGGTGGAATTTACTTTTCCTTCAGGTAGACGAGACCTGGTCATGCTTATAAGTAAAGTTGGGACAGTTGATAAGATTGTAAGTCAACATATTTAAAAATTAGCTTATTTTAACATTTAACTAATTTAAATTTTAAAAATTACAATCTTATGTAGGAATACGGATAAAACGGGAGAAAAGTGCTTGGGTATGCGCCTCCAGCTGATGCATGGAAGCTTCAAGAATATATCAAAAAGACATAAGTTTTTTTTTTTATATTTACAACTCGTTTCCAAGTTCAACTTAATGAGAGAAAAGAAAGAAAGTGCGTGAAAGTGAGAAGAAATTAAAAGAATTTGGTGTTCCCGAGTTTCATTAAACGAGGGAAATGAAAGGATCATTTTCCCTCGTAGCTTTCATTCCGATTTGGAATGATTTGGAGAGAAAGAACTAAATCTTTAATTTTGCTTCTACTTTTCTCCAACTCGGGAACACAAAAGAGAAATTTATCTTCCTTTCCTTTCTCTTCTTTTCTCTCTTTACTTTCTTTTCTCTGTTTCAACTCAGGAACTAGGCGTTAATGATTATGGGTAATGGCAAAACATTGAAACTTCCATGTTTAAATTTTATTGTAAACAATCCTTTTTAACATTCTTTAAGTAAATGTTGCAGCTATGAATTTAACTGCATCTGAATTTGTATAAAGGTCCACCTGTATAAAGGGCAGAATATTACTTTGTTCTACAGCTTCACCGTAGGGATTTATTTAAATTAGTTTTCAATAAAAGAATTATTAATATCTAAATTCGATGGGTCTTACCTTTTTTGTTACCGGGTCCATGGTGGTGAAAAATTGATCCTTACAGCACACACCGGCGCCAGTCAACTCATTACTCTTCCCATAGTTGGTATATCCAACCATGGAGATGACTGATTTAGACTGCTGGCTTAATCTTTCGCGCGCTCGTCTCTCGCGTAATGAATCCATTTTTTGTTTAAGCTCCACAATTCTTTTGAAGGTTGGTTCTCGGTCGATTTTTTGAGCCCTTTTCACCTCATATTGCAGTCGGGCTAAATTAGCCTACAAAATTGATAACATTAAAAAGTTAATTTTCCAAAATTTCTGTAGTTTAAAATTGTACGTATACAATTAAACCTGGATTTGAGCTTCACTCGTTGAGGCTCTCTTGTTCAGCAAATCAAGTATCAATTTGTCTCTATCTGATCTCATTTTGTTTTCAACGTCCTGTTTTAGGTAGTCGGCTTCATCTTTATCCTGTAAGGTAGAATGAAATTTAGAACTAAATGAAACAACATATCCACATTTAAAAGCATAATCAAATAACAAAATTTTCAAAAAGGGTAAAATGGAAAACAATAATAGTTCTTTAAAAGAAAGACTTTCAAACATGTTGAAAACCACAGTTTTATACCATAGTGTAGTGTTTTTGGGGTGTTTTGAAACTCATATTACCCTTTCACGAGCCATCATTTGGCTTTTTGGAATTCTCTTTCTTCTTCCCGTTCACGGGCCATCATTTGGCGAAACTCATTGATATCAAACATGGTGAAACAAAGGCAGGTCGGACCAATGATGAATAACACAAATTTGGGTTTCATGTAATTAAATGAAACGAAGAAAAATGGTAAGAAAGAAGTTGAAATAGATTGATAGCTAATCACAATCAAATGCACATTTGCTAAATCTATGTAATATCAATCTGCATAATTATTCTCGAAGAAGTAATAAGGGTAAATTGGGAAAATGGCTAAAACGAGAAAGTAATAAATTGGGAGGAATGAGTTCATTTGTAGGATTCAGATATGCATTTGACCCTTCACCATTGATTCTTTTGCCCCTAATCGATTTCGAAAGTTTCGAGACAGAGATAAGGCAACTGTTATGAAATTCTAAGATGAACTGATCATTTAACCAATCGCTAATGGTAGAGCAACGACAAGGCAACAGGCCAGCCACAATATTACACCTTCACGTCAATTTGTTGCTCCAGATCAATATCAATGTTGAGATGAAATTTTCCCAAAAATAAAACTTTTTTTTGGAGTGGGAAATGAAATATTACGTATGCTATGGGTATTCTAGTGAAGAGACCATTATATTTCAGACCACCCAAGAAAAACTCTTTTTCTTTTCTAAATCTGTGGTAAAACATTTTCAAAACATCAAACATTTGTTCTGAGTTTTATGTAGAAACGATCTCAAACATTAAATACATATAAAAATAAGATAAAAATAAATATTAAGTCCTGCGACTAGATTTGCTCCCAATACTGAAAATTTAAGACTTACTCGATTTCCCTGTTGTTGTATTTTCTTCATTTGAAATGGAAAGGAGCTCGTTTTTAGAGAAGAAAAGCTAAGCATTGGTGGACGGCGTCGTGCGCTATGGCCCTCGCCATAGGCTCGCTAGGGGATTGTCGCTGCCGGCTTAGCGAGAAGAGAGAGAAAGGGCTGCAATGATTTGATTGGGTATTGAGTTTTGACTTAGTTCACCTCCTCTTCTTTCTTCTTTGTCTTCGTCTCCAGTTGACATCTCCGATCAAACAGCTATCTTTTCCGGCAGAGAGCAAATCTCCTATTTGTTGAAACCCTACTAGTTGAATAGGTGGTTTTATTCTCGAAAATGGGCCTGTGTGATTGCTAGTAATAAATCTTAAAATTAATATAGAAAAAGAGAAAGAATGGACCGGGCAATTAATTGGGGTTTCAACTTTCAAACCCAATCCACACATTTGTTACTGCGTCCAATGTTATTTTTTATCTTTCTTTAACTTTTTTTTCTCTTTCTTTTAGAGTATTTGTGTTTTATAAAAAAAATAAAAATTATTTAATATAAAATGTTATGTATTAAAAAAATACAATTTATTTAAGTTTGAAAAAAAAAACATGGAATGTTAAGATTGTTACCACTCCGTATGAAATGCTAATAAAAATGTGTTAGCGAGGTGAATAACAAAAAAATGACATGACAGTCAAAATAATGATGTGACAAGGTGTTATGAGTGTTACCACTCCCTATAGCCCGTAGAGGCTTAAATCTTTATTCTCTCTCCTTTCGTTTTTTAAGGAAACGATAGTGACGTCGCCATGCAAATGTCCCTCCCCCATACACTCAGGTTCGTTAATTTGTAAAAGTTTGGTTATTTTGTCTTATATACTAGTATTATGAAAATTCAAATGCTCTAAATTTTTATTTATTTATCAATGGATGCTACATAAAAATGTTAAGAAATCATTTTTTTTCTATGCTAAATAAAAGAATTAAAATAGGATATGCTATAATACAAAGATAGTAGAAAGGATTTTTATGTTTGTTGCATCAATATCTTCAAATTAAGACCTTAAAATAGATTGAACACCACAAACATCTAAGTAATAACTGATCAAATAGTTTTAAGTAAAGAGATAACATGAGGCCTTACATATCAACGTTGTCATTTTGTTTTAAAGGGTTCCTAACGTTTTGTGTGTGTGTGTGTGTTTTGAGATTTTCTAGGGATATAAACTTCATTGTTACCTGCTATTTTATACCCTTAACCGTTATAGAAGGTTGTAATGTCACCTAAGCACAAATTTAGTACATTGGGATCCTATGTGTACGCATGGTCAAGTTCACAATGTGTGCTTTGAAAAATGAAAGAAATCATATTAGCGAAGATGAATTTAGCGAAGTCAAACCACTAATTATTGGAGATGGTTGTTGGTGCTTGTCGAAATGAACTTTCGGACGAACTCTTTGAATTTTGCGGTCAAACACATATAATCCGACCAATATTATGAAAATTTTCAGCCAAACCCTTCGGTCTTCCATGGTTCTAACTGTTAGGTGCATAAAGTGCACCTTTTTGTATGTTTATTTTATGTTTAATTCAAGCATTGCATAGCATTTAGTTTAACTTTGCATGTAGTTTATATTATCGGGACACTTTCAAGGATCTATCTACTTTTCACCATTTTTATTGATGTTTCAGGGTGATTCAAGAATTGGAGCATGCTTATGATGTTCAAGGGAGGATCTCTGCAAAATTTCAGAAGAATCAGAGCAAGATTGAAGAAAACTCGAAATTTAGATGTGGAATTTTATCAAAAGATTCCACGGTCGTGGAATGATTACACTGTCCATTCCACGGCCGTGGAATGGAGCTCTCAGCACAACATTTTCTCATTCTGAGGGCGTGGAATCTCAAGGCTTACCATTCTGAGGCCGTGGAATCGAGTCCGATAGTTTTTTTTGTGATTTTCAACTTCTGATTAAAAGAGCCTCGTCGCCAGAGCTTTCTTATGCAATCTCTTCAATCTAGCTTCTCAAAGATAAAACATCATTATATATATATATATATATATATATATATATATATATATATATAGTTAACTACACTACACTTGCCTTTTTGCGAATGCACCAAAATCCCTAAGAGCGTGATTTGCAACCCCAACCTCATCATGAAGCAAACCAACATACGTATGACCTGAAAGATTAAGCCAGTTAAAGATTGATTTAACTTTCTTAGACCACTCAGAATGGGCAACGGGAGAGCCCGTTAATCTGACGTGGACATAAAAAAACAGCGTCATAACGCCCCCTACACCCCCCCTCTTCTTAGTTTTTTGGTGTTATGATAACACATGTTATGGTGCTAACGGGAGGAAACGACGATTTTGACTGGAACAGTCAAAATTTCGACCGTTTGCAAACGGTCACAAATAAAAAAAATCTCTATTAATATAAATACACAACATTTTTATCTTCATTTTACCTACAAAACCCGACAAATTCTTTCAATAATTTCTATTTCTTTCAATTTCATTTTCTTTTCTATTACTCTATTTAATTAAAAAATGGATCATTTTGATCTGTTTCATCCACACAATCATGATATCGACGAGGATAATATGTTCATGGGTATGACGTACCGATATGCTACAGACATGCTACCCCCAGAGCCTGCTCCACTCTGATACCAACTTGCAACATCCCAAAAATACGGTCCAAAAATTTCGTTTTAAAACCATTAAAGAAAACCATAAGTTATCAAATCATTCCATCAAAACATGAGTCATAGTATTCCAAAACATTATTATCAGCGTTTCATATCAAAATATCAAAGTAAAACATCTCAGGCTAAAACATCTTGGTGTGTGCAATGCAGTCATCCCGAGCTCTTCTCTTTGCAACTGGAAGTACCTGAAACCAAAACTGAAAACCCTAAGCACGAAGCTTAGTGAGTCTCCCCAAATTACCACATACCATACACATAATCACACACTGCAAACATTGGGCCTGGCCTGCTACATCGGGCCCCGCCCGACATCAGGCCCACCTGGCAACGAGCCCCGCTCGGTATCAGATCTATTTCTACTAGGCCTCGCCTGTCTCTGGGCCCCGCCTACTATACACATGCAAACATATAATCATAATCAAGCTAACACATAACAGACAAACTCGACACTATAACCGCTAGTCTAAAGGCCCTGTCCCTACTCTACTACTAATAAGATATGGAACCCCGTCCACACTCAGCTAGTGATGAGATACGGGCCCCCGCCCACACTCATCTCCCTACCAGGCACATACAAGTATCACAAAGACAACAATTATAACTAAACATAAATTCCTTCCTCGGGTACCACCCGGCATCGAACCGTAGTTCGGAAACATACATATGAACCTTCCTCGGGCCTCGCCCGGCATCGGACCAAAATCCAGAACATATAAACTACATCGGGCTAACCTCGACATCGGATCTAAATCCGGTATACACTAACATACATAAACAGGCCGACATTGGTGCCTTCGACCCGCTCCTACTGGAGAAAACTCACCTCACAAGCTGACTGTAGAATCCTGCGAATAACCCCTCGTTGGTAGCTGGCAGATCCCCGAACGACTGATCTTTCGACTCCCCGAGCTACAATTACCCAAAATAACAATTAGTCCAGACCAATAGTCCTTACTTGGGGTGAAATGACTGTTTCACCCCTGGCCCAACAAGATTCACAACCAAGGCCCAAAAACTATTTAATCCATAAATATCCATCAATGGCCCAATTTTCCAAATTGGGCCCAAACCCTTACATGGGCCTTTCCCCAAAGGCCAATTACTTTTCTGAACCAATGATTTTCCGATGGCCCAAAGTCCAAGCCCATTGGGCCCAATCAAGGCCTAACTGCATTGGGCCCACTAAGGCCCATTTCATCATTTAAGGCCCATTAGGGCAAGCCCAACAAGGCAATCCCAACCAGAAGTCCATTACTCTAAAATCCTTAGTCTATTATGAGCCCAAACCAAAAGACAAGTCCAATATCAAGCTACCCACAATCAAAGAGTCCAAAACTTGCACAGGGGCTGCTCACGTCGTGAGCCCTTCATACTCACGTCGTGAACTCGTGGTTTCAGTCCAGGAACTTCCTCGAATATGTACTCATGTCGTGAGGCTTCATTCCTCACGTCATGAGTCCAGATCTGACCAAAAATGAGCATTAAGCTCTTAATCCATTAAGACTTGACATGGGACAGTCTAGAGGGTCTTCCTTGACCGCAAGGACCATAAAATCGAAGCTTTTTAGTCACATATGTCCAATACATGACTTAAATACTAGTTAGGTCAAAATATGGGTATAAACATCAAGATTCAAACTTGAAGCCCATAACTTGCACAAAAATCCAGATCTAAGGGTTCTAGCATAGCAAATGACTCAGTGGTTCATAAAGTTGCTAAATTTATGGAACCTATGCATGATACTTCAAGATCCCATGAAAAGAAGGTAACCATAACCTATATCTAGCAAGATTAAAGGAGAAAGGTGGGATCGTTGAGACTTACAAAAACTTATGAGCTCAGAAGTGCCACTAGGAGGAGCTTATCTTGCCAAAAGGAACTTCCCAAGAGCTTCTTCTTCTTCTTCTTCTTCAAGGAAATCAATCATTATAACACACCAACACCACCAACAATGGCTCAAGGGCTCAAGAAGTCCGAATCTAGGGTTTTTCAGTGACTTGGGAGTGAAAGAGGTTGAGGAGAAGCAACTCTAATCATCCCATACCTTTAAATACCCAAAAATAAGGGTTTTGGGGCATCAGGTGCGTCTCACATCGTGAGCACTTCATGCTCACGTTGTGAGCCTTAAATGAGCTTGGTCAACAAGTCAACGATCACTCACCCGAACCACTCCAACTTCAAACGACCATAACTTCTTCGTTTCAACTCCGTTTTTGACGTTCTTTATATCCACGAAAAGGTGGCGAGAAGCTCTACGCATCTATCAACTTATCCTTACCTCAAAGCCTTCCGAACAAAAGTACAAAATCCATAAAGAGCTCGAACTTCCACTTTACCGATATACCCCTTGGCTCCAAGACACACCCAAACTCCCGGATCACCTCAATTACATTGTCCGTACCTAAATGGGTCTAGATCTATCTCTTCCAAAGGCCCTAAGCCTTATGATAACCCATCTTCAGGCCACAGTCCCGAATTAGGAAAGCGATTCGGAACAGGACGTTATAACAGGGTTGCAAAAATGTGTTGCTGCAATCAAGCTTATGGCGTTGGGGGAGTCGCCCGAATCTATTGATGACTATA